TACTATTTAGTAACATTATTGATATATATATTATTAACCGGGTCTTAACACGAACTAATTTTATGGCAAATAAATGTGGCTCTAGCCGTGGTCACGAGCTGATGTAGGAACATACAGCCCATGTGATGGTAAACGGTTACCGTAGCCTATGGACGCCTGAGACACCAGGGGTGTCACGTGCGCGTTGCCTTAAGAAACTTTAATATACCGTTCTTGAAAAACCTCATGCTGTAGCCTCTCTAGAAAACCTTGGAAGGTAGTTCATTGGCAATGCCACACAACAGGCATACGGCCCATCTGATAGTAAATAGTTACCGTAGTCTATAGACGCCTGTAGCACCAGGGGTGTCACGTGCGCGTTGCCGACCCTTAAGAAACCTTAATATACCCTTCTTGAAAAACACCATGCTGTAGCCTATCGAGAAAACCTCGGCAGGTAGTTCATTGGCTATGCCACACAACAAGCATACGGCCCATGTGATGGTAAACGGTTACCGTAGCCTATGGACGCCTGAGACACCAGGGGTGTCACGTGCACGTTGCCTTAAGAAACCTTAATATACCGTTCTTGAACAACCTCATGCTGTAGCCTCTCTAGAAAACCTTGGAAGGTAGTTCATTGCACAATGTAAGTTTACGCAGGAGGAAGCTCCTCTCAATCCGCTGAGTTTCTTGTCAGTTCTGAGCTCTAATGCACTCCGAACTGGCGGTAGATTTTGCCTTTTTTTTATATCTCAGGACAATTTACACAGTGCTATCTAATCCTATTGTAAGCAGATCTTTGAGATCTTACTCAAGCAGCTTACTTCCCAAGCTATGTTTCTGTTTGGTTGAGATATGTAATATTATATTATCTTGAGATATGCGCTTTGACTGTGTGAATTACAGGGTAAAGCAGCCAGGAATGGCAACGAAATCGTTCGGATTTAGAAGTCCGTTAAAAAAGGATAAACTTCCAAACATTCCGGGAATCGAATGTAGGCCTCAAGGTCTTGTATCGGTATTCCATACCCTAATTAACCATAGGCCAATTAAAAAAAAATGGCACGACGCAGATTAAACTGCTGGCCACCCACCAACTCACTACTTAGGACATTGTTGTTATACTAAACACATATAATACAATATAATAGTCTCAGGACAGTTAACACAGCGCCATCTAGACACAAGTTAAGCTAGCTAAAGCTTGTATTATGGGTAGGTACTAGATAATTCAATTAAATTCAAATTCAAAATATCTTTATTCATGTAGGTCTATTACAGACTCTTGTGATATGTCAAATTCACCGTCAGTTCGGAATGATTTCGAGATGAGAAGAACTGACAAGAAACTCAGCTCGTATTCATCATTATATAGTATAAAACAAAGTCGCTGTCGCTATCTGTCTGTCTGTATGCTTAAATCTTTAAAACAGCGCAATGGATTTTGAAGCGGTTTTTAATAGATAGAGTGATTCAAGAGGAAGGTTTATATGTATAATACATGTACACCCGTGCAAAGCCGGGGTGGGTAGCTGGTTACATAATATAAAATAAAGTCGCTGTCGATGTCTATCCCTATGTATGCTTAAATCTTTAAAACTACGCAACGGATTCTGAAGCGAATTTTTTAATAGATGGAGTGATTCAAGAGGAAGGTTTATATATATAATATATGTACACCCGTGGGAAGCAGGGGCCAGTAGCTAGTACTTCAATAATAATAATAATTTCAGGATAATTCACACAGCGCCATCTAGACCCAAGTTAAGCTAGCTAAAGCTTGTGTTATGGGTACTAGATAACTGATATAAATACATATTTTCTTTTTCGTAAATACATACATAGAAAACAAGGCAAATTAAGGTTTCTTAAGAGGGTCTGGTGTCTCAGGCGTCTATAGGCTACAATAACCATTTACCATCAGATGGGCCGTATGCTTGTTTGCCATCATAGTAATATAAAAAAAATATTTTTATTATTGTGTAATTTTCTCAGCTTTTGCTTTTTTTCGTTTCAAATAACAAATTTAAGTATTTTACTATAAAGATTCTTTTTATAAACTATATGTATAATATGTTGCTTTTGGGAAGAATACACATTTTTCATGTTTGTGCCATCATGTTTGTGAGGAGAAATAAATATATCATATTATTATTTTTTTTTTTTTCCAAAAATTCTCATCTCTCCTCTTAAGGAGAGGAGATGGCAACATACCCCCGGCAGAAGCACAGTCGGCCGGGGTTCAGGGCCCCAGGGAGAGAAACCGGCGTACAATGCGGGCAGAATCTAACAGCACCGCTTTCTGCATCTTTCCCGGAGTGAGCCGCCTCGGAATCCCAACCGTCTGAGATGTTGCTCCAGACTGGTTGGGATAAGACCGTTCACCGATATAACGATTGGAATGATTTCGGTGGACTTATTATTATTATTATTTTTTCTCGACTTTCGCCGGTAATCTTGGTATGTACGGGCCTAAGCCAAGTACATAACAATGTTCTATCTTAGTGGATATACCGTAATACAAATGTAGACCTAATCTGTCTGTAGAAACTTTCTAATTATTATTATTATTATTATTTTGCTGGCCCTTTATCCTATTATTATTATTACTCTTTTATATATGTTTTATACATATATCTCCCTTTTTACTCCCTTTTTACGGGTGTAATACTTTCAAACTCCCCGCGTAGGGGGGAAAGGGATTGTTAGTAATGTGGATTGATAACCCCATTGCTAGCAATGTCACGTCTACCTCCACGCGGTTCCCCCTGGAAACCATCGTAAACTGGTGAATTTGTCACGTTGCAATACTTTCGTTAGCGCAAACATTATCATCCACAAAAAAAAAAAAAACTCCCCGCGTGTTTGCTTTAGCCCTTAGCAAGGGTGGATGAGTTATATGACGATTATAAAAGTGATTATTATTATTATTAAAATACAAGTTCGACATTGTTTATGTCCGTATGTACACATGAAATTCCAGACAGCATTATAATTTGCACTTAATATTTATAAATATAGTCACAAGGATCGTATTACTGTCGGTTCTTGTCGATTTATTTAGACTGGCCTTTTCACGCGTCGTTGCCTACATAAAATTACAATAATAGTATACACATGTACTCGAAAAAAGATTATTCTCTGCAATTATATCCGTTACGGTAAGTTTGCCTTGAAAAGAATGCTTTCAGTGATTATTGTATTTTTATGTAATAAAATTTAGTTCAATATAAAAAATATGTTATAGGTACTTACAATATAAACAATAATAATGAAATAATTTAAATATTTTAAACTGTATATGCCAGTATTTTTTTTAATTTAGGGATATTTTGTTACGGTTTGTTTTACATTTATTATTTATACTTATGTAAAACTATTCTAATTTACATATCAGAGCATTAGTATTAACTAAATTACAGTCGTGTGACAGATTGACAAATAGACGTATGTATAAGTTGACATAATTGTATAAATAATAGCCACGTATTTGACACTGAGATAACTAATAAAATGAAATAAAAAACATTCGAGAAATTAAAAAAAACCACTAACAAACACATAACACATTTTATTCGCCGCAGTTGGTTAAGCCACCAACGAAGTCTTTAATGAAGACATTTGCTCGGAACAACTGACCATTATTGCTGTTTAACTGATAAACAACCTGTCCCTACAATGCGTTCGATTAAGTACTCTATTCTTATAACATTAAAGTTCAAATTCATTTATAAATGTAACTTATTTTTAATTCCAGCTCACAAAAATTTTAATTCCGAATTCGAAATTCGAATTTTTAAAAGTTAACACGGTCGATTGTTAATTTTGTTTCATAAGATTTAAAAGTTGTATTTCTTTGAAAATTATGTTAGATTCAAGTTGCAGCTACCGAGTTATCAAAGTATTATCGACTTTAACAACTAATCTATAAGAATCATATTAGCAAGTTTACAGACGAGTTAATAATTGAAATAATCACTATTTATGGAAGACGATTCTCGACTTTATCGCTATACCTTTAGAGTATGTTGTTGTTTTTGTAATTTTGTTTTATTAATTGCCTATAAGTGGCAATTAAGAGCATGTTTATTTAGACCCATCATGGTTTTATGGGTTATGGCGCATAAGTGCGGCGGCTTCAAAGGATAGTGGGTTCAAACCGGAAGCTCTGATTGAAAGCTGTATAAATTTAGTTCCGGTTGACTATCCAGGGATTTGCGTTTGATTCTTGTCGAATACATTGATAAGGAAAGTTAACTTTTTTGTATCAAAGTTCACTTTATACGAAGTCGTCTGCGAAGGTACTTCTGTTACATCTATTTCTGTCATTCTATGCCTCCGTCCAATTCAAACGGGGATCGAAATTACGACGGCCTGCGCCGAGGTTCGGACCCCTAGTGGTGCCCTCAGACTAGTTGTATCCGTCAGGCGGGAGGTGGCCTTCAGCCGCTCCATAAGTCTTTCCTTTGGTTTGGAGTGTCATCTGCACTCGCCCACTATCGTCCGGTGAAGCTGTAAAGGCCAGCTGCGGCCAACAGCATTAGAGTAGTCCGAAAAAAAACATCGCCTCCAGAATGGCAAGTCATTGAGTGGTATCACAGGTGTCACGTGATAACATGAGAACGTCTGCATTCGAAATTCGAATTTTTAAAAGTTTTATAAGATTTAAAAGTTGTATTTCATTGAAAAATATGGACTTAAGTTATAGCCCCAAAGTTACCAAAGTATTGTCGACTTTAAAAAGTAATTTATAAGAATCATATTTGCAAGTTTACACACAAATTAATAATTGAAATAATCACACATTTATGGAAGACGATTCTCGACTTTCTCGTCATACTTTAAGTGTAACAAAAAGAATATAGGTACTTTTTTTTCTTCATTTGCGATTAAATGTAATTGTATTATTTGTGTATATTTGTGTTTAATATAAGTTTATTTATTATTTGTGTTTGAAATGTTAATCTTTTGTTCGTATGTTTAATTATTGTCTAATTGTTTTTTCTCTTTTGTTATAGGACGAAGTAAGTACCGGAGCGGCTCACGGGAACCACGTGAGGAAATTCCATTTATTTTTTTCTATTCCAAATTCAATTTTTTGTTTTAAAGTTACAAATAATGTTATGTTTGGTGGATGAGAAAATTTTATTGAGATATGTTTTTAAATTTAGAACATTAACAATAGTAATATTAAAAAAAATATATAACCTGTAACTTTTTAAACATATTTTTAAAATAAGAACATTTAGTAATGAATAAATCGGACTACCTATAAGGTAATTTCTGTTCGAAATTCAAATTTTTATAATAAGAACAATTAATAATACATAGCACATAATGTTAAAACTTTAATTAAATAATAATATTAATCGGCCTAGGCTGTATAGTCATTTCTGTTCCAATTTCAGAATATATTTTATAATATTTTATGTTTGGCAGTTCCATAATCATATTCTTTTTTTAGAATATATTTGAAATAAGAACATATAATAATATAATACAAAAGTAATTGCGTAATTCTGTGTCTGAATCGGACTACCTAAAAATTAATTTCTGTTCAAAGTTCAAATTTTTAAAATAAGAACAATTAATAATAAATAGATAATACTTTAATTAAAGAATATATTGATCGGCCTAGGCTGTATAGTCACTTCCGTTCTAATTTCGAAATATAGTTGCCAATTCCATCATCTTTTTTTAGAATAGATTTTTAAAATAATAACTTATAATAATAGCAAATCAAATAGTTCTTTGTTAAGAGGACAAATTATTCAGACTAGTCTACCTATGGCCATTTTCATTCTTAATTCAAAATATTCCTTGATTAACCTAATGATTTCTGTAGAATTTGTAATTTTAAAATAAGAACATCAATAGGAGCCTAGTTCAGCTTTTTTTTCTTCTTTTGGCTCCGATTAGTTCAGCTTTAGATACACGTTCTAATACTGCAGTAAGTTCTACTTACTAGTAGTTCTTGATAAGCCAATATCTTTTAGAAGATTGTAGGGTGATTTCGCTGGTATACCTTTCGCTCCCACTTGGACTGCATATAAATTAATCATATAGCCAAATAGATCCCTTACAGAGGTACGTCAACACTCACCTTCACCGCTCGTGTCTCTCTCCCTGTCCAGACAAGACTGGCAGGAGCCAGCTAGTTCAGCTTTAGATACACGTTCTAATACAGAACTTACTGCAGTTCTAGACAGACCAGATTTCGCTGGTATATCTCTCGCTCCTACTTGGACTGCATATAAATTAATCATATCAAATTTTAGAAGTCAACACTCACCTTCACCGCTCGTGTCTCTCTCCCTGTCCAGACAAGACTGGCAGGAGCCAGCTAGTTCAGCTTTAGATACACGTTCTAGTATAGAACATACTGCAGTTCTAGACAGGCCAGATTTTTCTATTTTCTATAGATCTTTTAGAAGATTGTATAGAAATTTCAATGATATACCTCTCGCTTCCACTTCGACTGGATATAAATTAACCATATCAGTTGTCTAGTACCTAAGGACTCTTCAGACGTTCGTCAACCTTCACCGCTCGAGTCTCTCTCCCTGCCCAGACAAGTCTGGTAGGAGCCTGCTAGTGCAGCTTTAGATAGCTGAACAAGATGCTGAAAAAAAAAGAACTTACTGCAGTTCTAGACAGGCCAGATTTCGCTGGTATTCCTCTCGCTCCCACTACGACTGGATATAAATTAACCATATCAGTTGTCTAGTACCTAAGGACTCGTCAGACGTTCGTTAACACTCACCTTCACCGCTCGAGTCTCTCCCTGCCCAGACAAGTCTGGTAGGAGCCTGCTAGTGCAGCTTTAGATAGCTGAACAAGATGCTGAAAAAAAAGACAGTTCAGACAAGTCTGGTATTCCTCTCGCTCCCACTACGACTGGATATAAATTAACCATATCAGTTGTCTAGTACCTAAGGACTCTTCAGACGTTCGTTTAGATAGTCTCTCTCCCTGAACAAGAGCCTGCTAGTGCAGCTTTAGATAGCTGAACAAGATGCTGAAAAAAAGAACTTACTGCAGTTCTAGACAGGCCAGATTTCGCTGGTATATCTCTTGCTCTCACTTCGACTGCATAAATTCACCTCAAAGTTACACATTTTGGTATTTTCATTGGTATTTCAATTTTTTTTGTGTATTAAGTGTTTTTTATACTATTATGTGTACAATAGGTTATTTGTATAAAAACTACAATTACTCAACGTAATGGTGGTCCGATCTCCGTTGTCGTTTGTACAAAAAAGTGTTATGAGTTTTTCGTTAATCGAGTTAACGTTGTTATAAATGATTAGTGTCGGCTTCTGAACCATTTTTATTTTATTATGAGAAAGGAACCCTTCTCATAATAATAAAACTTGGTAATTTTTTTGATGGCCTCAGTGGTCTAGCGGTTTAGGACATGCCTTTACTTCTGATGATCGCAGGTTCGATTCCTCGTCCGGTCCTTTTGATTCAAGTATATGATTGTTTGTTTCGGTCTGGGTGTTTTCTAAGCACAATATGTACAAAAATGTAACTATGCATTTATTTCAGTTGTCTAGTACCCATAACATATTTTTTATTAAAATAAAATTCTATAAAAATGTAGCTAAGTTACTTCTCATAGCAAGAACAAACAAACTGACAGAAAAAGTTATTCAGTATGTAGATAAAAAATGAATATTTTTTTCTGTCAGTCTGTATGTTCTTGCTAACTTGGCTACATTTTTATATAATATATAATTTCATATTCAGTGAAAAGCTGTTCATTTCAAATTACAGACAGACACTTCGATTTAATTTATTTTCATGTATTAGTTAATTAAACAGACAGATATAAATACTCTTTGAGTTTTTTTTATGTAAGTATCTTATACATTTTCGTATTCAGCGAAAAGCTGTTCATTTGAAATTACAAACAGACACTTGAGTTTCATTTATTTGCATAGATTAATAAACTTATTTATACGGAACCTATTAATCCAAGTACAGTTTTGCATTGACCATTTCAATACTAACAAAGGTATTTTGGGAGACAGTTTTTGTGGTAAAAACGGTGAATGGTTAACCAGATCGGACGGTTAATTTGATGTTTTGACGGCCCGGCCGCGTTTCAATAGTTTTTATGGTTACAGTTATTTTTTTTATATGAAAATAACTACTATTATAAAAGATTGTAGTTTGTACTCATTTTGTTATATAATTTAATTATTGAGATTGATTAGAATTAATAATATTAATATATATAACTCAAAGGTGACTGACATAGTGACATCGGACTAAAATTTGACAGGCAGGCAGATGTTATGACGTAGGCATCCGCTAAGAAAGGATTTTAATAATAAATTCCACCCCTAAGGCAAAACCTAGTCTTATTATAAACGCGAAAATTTGCGAATATGGATAGATGTTTGTTACTCTTTCACGCAAAAACTACTGAACGGATTTTAATGAAACTTTACAGTAATATAGTTTATACATCAGAATAACATATAGGCTATGAATTTCATGCGAGTGAAATCGCGGGAATTAATATATATTATAATAAAAATATAACCTTGGACAGTTCACACAGCGACATCTTGTCCCAAGTTAAACAGAGCTTGTGTTATGTGTTGTATTGGTTTATATCAGTTGTCTAATACAACTGATATAAATACTTAGATACATTTTTTGTACAGGAGTTTTCCCGGTACGGCTTTACCGACTTTAATGAAATTTTGTATGCATGTATACAATATTGATATTATAGTTCTCATCGTAATATTAATGTTTATGCAAAACATAACAAAAATATTTCTACTGTACACTGTTAATACCTACGCACGTAATAATTATAAAAAAAACATTATAAAAACAAATAATATTAGTTCACAATGGCGTCCACTTAAACAGATGCTTATCGTTTACATTTTGTACATTAACAAAACAACATGGCGGACGTTTCAAAGTAAACATTGATACTTGTAATTATTCATGAATACATCAACAGGTTTTATATTATCACAATTAACGAGCCAATGAAATTGAGTTAATTAGTTTATTTGCAATTAACGAATCATACTCGAGTTTTTTTTATGGATGATAATGGAATGGTATACCCGACTGTGCTAACGGATACGCTGACGGAGCACCAGTGGAGGATGATAGGATATGCATGAAGTTAGGTTCCTTCAGCCTATCGTGGTAAATTCACCAAGATGTTTTCCCGTTAGCCCATTTTGGCAAATTGCAATTTACCATGTTTTCTAAGAAGAACTGCGTGGAGGTCAACCTAACATAGTAAATTGTTAGCAATGTTTGACGACCTCGGTGGTATAGCGGTCTAGCACACCGCTTTACATCTGACGGTCGCGGGTTCGATTCCTCGCACGGCACAAACATATGTTTTCATGAGTATGATTGTTTGTATCGCTCTGGGTGTTTTCTATGTATAATAATGTATTTACGAAAAAAAAATCTATGTTTTTGTATCAGTTATCTAGTACCCATAACACAAGTTTTAGGTAGGTTAACTTGGGTCTAGATGGCGCTGTGTGAATTGTTCTGAGATTATTATTATTATTATAACGTGGTTATTAGTCCACATTACTAACAATACCTTTCCCGTAAATTAACATATATACTAACTATCTGACCCAGCAAACGTTTTGCCATATAAACTTAAGTACTAATATCTATCAATAGATAGGGGTTGGTGGAAGAAGGGGGAAAATTTAGGGTTCTTGCAAATGGCAATTTACCACGATGGTTTCCACGGAGAACCGCGTGGAGGAAGTGACATGGTACTTTACCAGCAATGGGGTTATTAGTGTACATTACTAATAAACCCCTTCCCCAAAAAAAACATTACGGTAATCTCGGATAAGAAGGGCTTATCCGAGATTACCGTAATAATTTTTTTGAAATTAAATGAAATTTTATTACATATAATTTTTAATTTTTGTACGACACATTTAGTAATTTCTGACATGCAACAGAAATTTTCAATTGAGAAATGTTCATTTTTGTATGATAACTTCATACAGAAATGAATATTTCTACAATACCATAATGA